TAAAGCTCATGCTCGGCCCGTATTTATTGATTTTTCTTCAGCTTTTAATTCTATCCAGCCACATCTTTTAGTCGATAAACTTCTTAACCAGTTTAAACTTGATTTTAATCTCGTTGGTTGGATTTTAGACTTTTTAACTGACAGATCTCAGTGTGTGAGAGTAAACGGCTGTTTCTCCAAATTCATTTATTTATATAGCGCCAAATCACAACAACAGTCGCCTCAAGGCGCTTTGTATTGTACAATAGATCCTACAATAATAGATAGATAGCTGACTCTGAAGTATGCCATCACACTACACATCTTGAGGACTTCCTGACTTCCTTGCCACCCGAAGCATCCCTGGGACAGTGCCATCTTTTCTCCTTTTCATTGTTGCGTCCTTTTGTTATGAAAACATGCAGACTTGCCATGCTGTCCTGCCTACAGGACGCCAGCTGCCATAGTAAGCACTACTAAACAGGCAGGGCTATGGAAGGGAGTTGTAGGCAGCACTTATGAGAAACCTGAGCTTATTGTCTGGCATCCTTCAGATCTCTGCCCATCTGAGGCACCTGTTAAAAGCGGTGTCCCCTCACGTCCAGTAGCCCTGGCACCTCTTACCTTTATAAAGAAGCATTCCTTCTCCACCCTGGGGACTTCATCCACCACCATGGTCTCCTTCTGTTTCTTGCTGACTTGGAACTGTTGCGGTGCTTTAATCTTATTAATTTACCATTTTCTCTTCTGGTCAGAATGTCAAGTCATTGAATGATCTAGTTTATGACCCAATAGCAGTAAAACACAGTACAGAGATGATAATGCACGAACAACGTTGTTCATCCATGGATGTAAATATATTTTCTCCAGTTGCCCGCTGAACCCTGGTCACTAACTTTTGACTTTTTTACATAAAGATTCTGGTTAGTTACTTAGGTGGGTTAGCTTCCAGTGTCTTGGAAGTGTTGGTCCTGGTATTAAGCCAGAAAAGGATTCTCACCATCAACTTTATGTGCCTGTAGGTGTTACAACCTGTCTGTCCTGATTTTAACTGACAAATTGAAATAGTAGAGACTAATATTCCTGTTATGGCAGCAGGGGCTAGTACATGAAAATGGACCCAAATACAGACAGAGGCAAACTGGTAGGTTTTATTTACAAAGACACAAGAGTAACACTTAAGCACCGGAAACATGAAATGAGAATCTAACAGGAGTCTGAAGCAGTCACGGCTCGTGGGTCGGGGATAGAGGTCACTGAAACAGAGGGAGAGAAATGCTGAGTGAGGTAATAAGGCAACTGAATGGCTTTCTAGTGGCTCACTGGCTTGCAGGTGTAGCGTGACATGATGGGGAAATGGAATGGTCCGCCATGAGAATTTGGCAGCGTGAACCCGGTCCAGAATCGTGGAACGGGCTGCTGCAAGTAAATAGCGCCGATTCACGAGACCAATACCCAGATCAGGGTCAATCTCCAGTACCGGCGAATGGCGACCTCCACATCCCAGGCAATGAACCCAATCTTGCTTGTAGCGGGGAGAATGGTTGGGACCTCAGAGCGATTGTGTCGGTGGCGAACTGGCGTGATAATGCATTGGCTTTGATGCTCCGTGAGCGTGGACGGTAGGAAATAAAAAAGTTAAACCTGGCAAAGACAGTGACCCACGTGCCTGCCGTGCACTCAGTCTCTTAGCTGTCCTCAGGTAAGTTAGGTTTTCATGATCCATCCAGATAGCAAACGGCTGCTCGGCTGCCTCCAACAGATGCCGCCATTCTTTCAGAGCGAGCTTTACTACTAACACCTCCCTGTCACCCACATCATAGTTCTCCTCGAGATGACGTGAGAAAAGCCACATGGTGTTCCTCAAGAGTCTTGGAAAATATCTGAATGTCATCTAGGGTAAACAAACACGAACCTGTCCACAAAATCCCTGAGAACATACCAAAGCTTGAAAGATGGCTGGGGGTTGGTTAGCCCAATCGGCATCACCGGGTATTCAAAGTGGTGTATTGAATGCGGTTTTCCATTCATCTCTTTGTCGGATGCACTGCGGAGGTCGAGTTCGGTAAAAATAGCAGCTCCGTGAAGAGTGTCAAACATGGAGTTCATTAAAGGCAGTGGATACTTGTCTTTGATTGTGATGTCAGGCCCTGGTAATCTATGCACGGGCGGTTCTGTCATTTTTCTCCACAAAAAGAAACCCGACTGCGAAGCCCATCCATTTTTCCATGGCCGCTCGTTTGGGTCCGGACACATTGCAGAGAAGTCTGGTGGAGAGCGAAGCTCCAAGGAATAGTTCAATTGTGCAATCGTACGGTCTGTGAGGTAGGAATGAAAGGGCCGTGGTTTTACTAAAAACTTCTTGAAGGTAGCTGCGAGGTGGCTGTAGCTCAGGAGGTGGAGCAGGTTATCTGCTGGAGGAAGGTTGGTGGTTTGTTCCCTGCCTCCACCAGTCTGCACCATTAGCCTGCTAATTCCAGTTAGTATGTCCAGTAGTTTATGTATTCCAAAGTGAAAAATCATGAATAGAAACAAAAGACTGAATGCATCTGTAAAAATAAAGCAGTAACGGGTTTGTGGATCTCAGGTTCCAGTTGAACTTGCAACCTGTTGAGTGGGGCAACAGACAGAGCCCCGAGTAAATAATGTAAACAAGAGATGCAGTTTGCATCTAAAGTTTGTCTAATCACATGAGGTTAGCAGTGCTAAAGTATCAATGAAAGCAGCAATGCCTGTGGAAAGTCTGAAGAGGCCGAGGACCTGCATGCAGCAAGTGTTTGAATTCACACACTGATCACTCATGTAAAAACAATCTAGTTTTCTGTTTCATAATAAATTATATGTTCAGTTGATTCAATGGCTTTTCATCTCTTAATAATGATCAGAGGTTCCCAAAGTGTGGGGCCCGCCCCCTGAGGGGGGGGGAGGGGGGGCGCAGAGCCATTGCAGGGGTATGAAAAAAAGCAAAAACAAAACGCTTGGACACTGCTAGCATCATGGACAGGTTTTTGACGGGGCGCCCACACAAACGCAAAGCAGGAGATGAAGCATCGCTGAATATGTTTCCAAACCAACTTCATTCCAAGCCAAATGCTAGACAATATGGTGAAGCAAATCCTCCTTTTGGCTTCACCTGCACAAGTGCCGACGTAGGTCTCTGCGACAGAATTAGTTTCCCTGCGTCGGGAGCAGTGCTGGGCTCTCAAACTCATGGACAAACAGGATCCCACAGCTGTTTATGTTTTTGAACCCATTTTGCACAGAGAGGCATTTTTTGAAAACTGTGTTGACAGCAATGTTGAACATTATTACACATGAAAAAAACAACTACATGTAAAATAATCACACCGTGACGCCTCTGCCTTTGTAAATGGAGGGACAGTAACTGTGTGTAAACCTGCAGACAGTCAGATTAACAGTATTTGTCTCTATCTGCTATTTTGCAGTTCATCTCATGTAAACAATAACGTGGCCACAGCGTGACGTGGAAAAAGGCGCATACCTTTGACGTTGCGTGACGAACTCTGTATTCCAGCATTTTAAAAAAAACTTCAGTTTTCGGTGATTCGAAACGCCGTTTACATGTGGACGAAAGGTCCAAACACACAGAAACAGCTCCGTGTGTGGACGCAGCGTAAAAGAGTTAGTAGCTTATTTTATTACTACCTGTAATTTATTGCAGTTTACTTGTATTTGCTTAATTGTTTACTAAAACAAAATATGGGTGTGTGTGGTTGGAGGATGTGTTTGTGCGCGGGGGGGTGCTACAGCAGCAACATTTCTGACTGTTGTGCTTCATCAGCTGATGGTCATGCAGCCACCCACCTGGTGTAATTCCCATAGGACCACATTAATCCCAAACCGAGCTGGGGATGGGATCACTGTGACAAGCAGACAGGAAAACGACTGTTCTGCCAGAAGAGTGACGCGTCCAGCAGTCACCACGAGTTTTATGTTGCCATTAGCATCATCTGAAAGTGAGAGTGTAGCTTTCACCCCTTTAGCAATAGTGGTGAAAAACTGACACTGCAGCCCAGTGTGGCATCTTAAATGAAGATAATGTGATGTAACGCTTGTAATAATGTCAGGTCAGATGTTTTTGTTGTCTCTCTGTGATCGGGGTTCATTTCACATGCTTTCTAAATAACCAAACACTGGGATTCAAATGTAGTCAGTTTCAAAGCCAAAACACAACCTCTATTTTTTAGCCACTGAGCAGTTTTGTAATACTCATTGAATAAATTCCCAGTTAATTCAGCATCCTGGTAACCATCCCACAGACATTGTCGTTGTACAGGAACTTTGATAACTGCTGCATTTATTACTTCCAGGCTGGACGACTGTAATTCATTATTATCAGGATGTCCAAAAAACTCACTGAAAAGCCTTCAGCTGATCCAAAATGCTGCAGCAAGAGTCCTGACAGGGACTAGAAAGAGAGCAGATTTCTCCTGTTTTGGCTTCCTGTTAAATCCAGAATTCAAAATCCTGCTCCTCACATACAAGGTCTTAAATAATCAGGCCCCATCTTATCTTAATGACCTTGTAGTACCATATCAGCCTATTAGAGCACTTCGCTCTTGCTCTGCAGGCCTACTTGTTGTTCCTAGAGTATTTAAAAGTAGAATGGGAGGCAGAGCCTTCAGTTTTCAGGCCCCTCTTCTGTGGAACCAGCTTCCAGTTTGGATTCAGGAGACAGACACTATCTCTACTTTCAAGATTAGGCTTCAAACTTTCCTTTTTGCTAAAGCAATATAAACCACCTTAAGGTTGCTAACAACTGAATTGACATTAGTGTATTTGTATTTGCTGGGTTTTGATCCGTTCTGTTGCAGAAAAGTTTGAAAGGTTTGATCTCTGAGAAAGCATTTCTCTTATCAGTCTGATTGTGAATTGGTAACGCTGTTATGATGGACTGATGCATGATGGTAAAGTATCAGTTTTTTAAGCTCCACAAAGCCAATCTGCCTGAACCATGAACCTGTCTGATTTCATTTCTATTTTCTGATCTACCTCCACAGCTGTTGACATGACAACAGACGAGGCAGAAAGTCACCAGAAAAAGCCGAGGCAGCAGGAGGAAGCTGGCCAGGGCGCCAGACCTCCCACTCCAGAGGACGACCAGCTCCGACCTCAAAACCACAACCCTGCTGGCCGCGGTCTCACACGCCTCTTTTCTTCCCTCCTGAAAAGGCGTTCACAGTGTGAGAGCGAGGGTGGAGAAAAGGAGGACAAGGAGGAAGAAGCTAAAGCACCCATCGCTGACCCCGAACCTGAACTAAAAACAGAGGGCGAGGTCGCCCTTGACCAGCACTCAGTAAGCAGCGCTGAGGCTCAGGTCAGCCTGTGTTGGTGACTGTGTTACAGACTTAGGTCTTACCTGTGATATGTAAGGAAATGTGTCATGGATCGAGTTGCAAAGTATTTCTTATAGGATGCGTCAACTTTTACATTACTGAGCAAATCATTTTCCAAACCTGAGACTCTTGACTGTAGACGGTGCATGAAGCCTCCTCCCTGCTCAGGCTACAAGAGAAACATTACAAAGGTGGTGTTGGGCTCCTTCAGGTGTAGCCTGGATCACCTTTATAAAGTCTGATTACGCTGTGACTTATTTAAGATCCTCCGTGTGCTACATGTTCACATAGTTTACACTGTGACACCTCAGATGTGTGGATGATCTCACAGTTTTTGCTGAGCTGTAATGCTTGACATGCACATCTCCATCAAAACTGCACCATAGCACGATGTGCATCCTCTTCATAACTCTGACAGCCCCTGCATCCATCGGTTTAGACACAGTAACTGTTGTTTTCCAGTATGAACTGCTCAGTTTCACCTGTGATGGCATTAAACCCAAACAAGGTTGTCAGCTGGTGTTCAGATTAGTAGTATGAATTGCACTTTAGTCTTTTTGCAAAGACACTGATGTTTTTACACATATAAATATATCAGTTACTACATGACTGCTTCATCATCGAAGTGTCTTTGTCAGGCTACCCAGGTAGAGAAGAAAGAGACTGACGAGGACAAGGTTGGAAAAGACAAGGAGAAACACGAGGACAAGGAAGGGGAGGTTACCATGGAGAAAGAAGAGGAGAAGGACAAAGAGAAAAAGGAGGAGGAGTCTGGCCCTGAAGAAGGCAGTAGGGGAGAAAAGGACGAGAAAACAGCAGAAGAAGAAGCCAAAGCTCCCAGAGCGCCGCGCCGACCCAAGACCATGCAGATCAAAGTCACACTGCTGGACGACACTCAGTACGAGTGTGAGCTGGACGTAAGTACACACACACAGACACACACACACAGACACACACACACACACACACACACACAGACACACACACAGAGACA